GTTACCTAGTAACGGCCTCCACCTATATAGCTAGCTCTTTTTTCAAGAAATGCACGATTTAGTGAAACGATTTGCAAGATTGAGGGTTCACGTTGATGTCCTCCAACCCAATATAGCCTACTAGCGATGGCCGGGAAAATCGAGGATCAGCGGGAAGGATGATGAGGATAGCTGTGGATGGAGCTGCCTTTTCAATGGTCAAGGATTTATTACAGAGGCAATTAGTCTAATACCCCTATTTAGTGAACACTCGTCCAATGCAGCTACAGGAATTTGTGTTCAAAAGGGATGGACAAAAGACACCGGACACGGCACCCCAAGTTCTCGTCAAGCGGCATTTCACAAGCGCTTGGAGGAAAGCATCCAGATAGAGAAATTTGTCCAGTGTTGCTATGTTGGTGCTATGCTCAACGCAGTCTTTGTAGCTTTTCTGGGTGAGATCTTTTTGCCAGCTCGGCCAGCTCGTGCACCAGATGGTTCCTTGCACGCAGGAGCGCATCAATCAGCTCCAGTCACTTTTGAGCGAGGAGAGATTTGGGCAGGTGGCCATGTGAGCCCTAACTTTCCCTTAAGACACCCTCAACAACATTATATAAATGTAGAGAACCGCTCATATGGGCTCCATTCTCATGCTCTACTTGAAGCCGACAAGTCGAGCTGGACACTTGAGGCTTTGCTGTTAGCAGCGTAGCCAGGAACGGGCCGCCCACACCCAGCAGCTGCAGCAACAGGCAGAGTTGGTGCAGCAGGTGTGGCTGCCACAGCGGGATACATAGTGACTCGCTTTAGTTCACTTTCTGACATGGGCTTTTGCTTGCAGTCGTGGGTTTGGTAGGTCTTGCCGCGCTCACTTTGAACAACACCACTTCGATTTGTTTCACGAATGTTTGCGGGCGTTTTGCTTTGGATTGCCATCCCCGAGTCCTAGCACATGCGACGTTCGTGTGCCTCTTCTACCAGATTTGACCGTTCATTCTCCTCCATCCCAAACATGAAGGCGCTTGTCCAATCGTGTCCTGTCTGAGAGCCTTTCGCAGGTGCGTCGGGAGGCCGAGCTGCAGCTGGCAGACGCTGAGAAGCGACACCGGGCAGAGCTGGCCGTGGAGCAGGTCGCATGCGCAGAGAGAGGTGATTGGACACCTCAGGTAAATGTTCAACCGAAAAGATCAAGGTAACTCCAGACTTGCTAGCAAAATGTAGCTCAACCAGCCACATGCCGAAATTTCAAAGTCTCGAAAGATCGTTCTGAAGTTCGGTTCTTTTTCTAGTAGTAACAAAAAGCTTCTTGTTTCTAAGTTCGCAAACATTGTTACTACTAGTAAGGCACCTGTTACTACTAGCGTGGCACTTGTTACTGGAAGTCGAAGCCACGGCCGGCTTTGCAGGAACGGGTGCGCGAGGCCCACGAGATGGTCGAACTGGTGCAGTCCGGGGGCCGAAGGGTGGCCGATGGGCCGTGAAGTGCGCCAGGGTCTTGGATAAACGGAGCGGTGTGCGGTTCTTGCTAATCGACTGGTTGTTTGATGTTTGAAGGGACTTCATTCTTCCGACCTTGATTCCCAAGAAACGTGACACGTGAAAAGTCTTCACTGGTTGTTTTACCATGTTTGTGCTGTCAGCTGTTACCAGTCCAGCTTGAAGCGGTCCAGACGAGGGGCCCAACCCGTTGTAAAGTCAAGCTTCCTCCATCTCGCAGCCACGACATCTCGCCGCCATGATCTTGTTTTTGCTGTTGCTTCGTGCGCTACTAGGAACAAGTGCATCGCTTCTAGTAACAAGTGCCTTACTAGTAGTAACAAGGACGCTACGAGTGTCGATGCCATCGTCACCGCGCCGAGTTTTCGTGCCGAGCCTGCCTCGTGCCGAGCCTGCCTCGTGCCGAGCCGCTTCGAGGCAGCGCGCGAACAAAGATGTCATGGACGCTCGTGCTCGCGAGGCATGGGAACTCAGTCTGTTTAATGTTCGTGGAGGGGTGGAGTTCGTGGCACGCCCTGCATGTTGGACAGAGAGGAGGAAAAGGACTATATAGAAGCTCTCAAAACCCCTCTTCATAGTTGATAGCGTTCCATGGAGCATTTGCAGATAAATTAAGCCCCACGCCCTTGGTAGGAAAGTGCCACTAGCAGAAAGAGAGACTGACAAGGCATAACATGCAAAGACTGGCAGCATTTCATCGCCCTGCTCTCCGCGACCCTCCTCCAGGGCTGCACAAGATGACTCATGACATCGAGGTATCCACGGTAAGGTCTTGTATTTGTTTGGAGTCATTTCGACAGTGTTTGGATTCTAGAAGCCCATGTGTTTGCTGTGGAGCGTTTGAGGTGTTCAGTTTCTTTCCGCTCTTCTTACAATAGCCGGGAGGTTAGTAAAGAACGAAACTTGATAAAACAAGATAAAACAAGATAAAACGAGTAACTCTTTCATTGAGATGATTCAGCATGCCTTGCCGCTCAGGAGGCCCGCATCGCGCAGATCCGGGCCCAAGCTGAGCACCGAGCGTCAGGGAGCCCAATTGAACTTCTGAGCGTTTGTGTTTCGCACGACCTTCAGTTGGACCGTTGTTTCTTTTCCTAGGCCTTGATTTTGAAAGAAACTCGATCCATTTAGAGAAAGGTTTTTCCTGGACTGGATTCGACCAACAGCGCTGCTTCAGGCGTGATCTTGAGCGACGCATGCGTTTGCCCCTGAGCAACTTTGGAAATCCACGTGTGTTGACGTGTTCATCAGCAAAACGGCCGCACAGGCATGGGATGAATGGGGATGTCCTAGGATTCTGCAGAAAAACGGCAACACTCAGGTGAAACATGGAAGGCTTAGAGACATAAATCCTCAATTGCTCCAGGTTTTGCCAAGGAAAATGCCAAAAAGGTGCAACAGTCACATCCACCTTTAGGTACCTTAGGCAACGAACACGTGCCGTGGCCGTGCTATTGCCGTGCACCGAGGTGAAGAGGCCACAATGAGGCGAAGGGATGGGGTCAAAGCTGTCTGAAAAGAGAGAGAGAGAGAGACAGAGAGAGAGGGGGGGGGAAGCGGCTAGCAGCATGTCGAGGAGCCACTAGCAGAGGCTGGCACTAGTCATCCCTAGCAATTTTGTCGTATTTAGCCATATTGATTGAGAGTGTTTATGACTTAATGTCCAACTTACTGCCAGCTGAGCTGAGCACTCTCCCAATCCAACTTGAACAGACTGCTGAGTGATTGGTCATCACCTTTCGGCCTTTCCTTGGCGATAAACTTCAAGACCCTGAGGGACCAGCACGTGATTGAGCGGCAACGGATGATGGAGGAAGCCTTGTCGCTCGCCAAGAGTTTTCTGCGATTGTCTACATGCAAAAGAGATTGGAAAGACCAGCCATTGCCACCTTCAAGTCTATGTCCCTTGTGCATCATCCACGGCCAGTTGGCGCCATCTCAAAGGTACGCTCATGGGCGGGAGAAGGAGTATGCAATCGAGTCAGCGCAACGGCATTTAGCAGCCATGGAGCAGGATGACGAGCGTTCTGGGTCAGTTCGAGGGTGGAGAGAGTGTAGTGAAAAGACACATGTGCTGTAGTCACGGGCCAGAACAGTCAAGAAACTTGCATCAGATCCACAATCTGAGCACGAAGGATGTGAATTGTTGCGGAGATGTGTTGCCTTCAATGCGTTTGAGGAGTTGCAGCTTTCGAACGACCAGCGTGAGGCGCTGTATGCTCAAAAGGAGGAACGCCTGAAAGAGGTGGAGGAGCTGAGGGAGAGATGCTTAGAGGGAAATGAGAGAGAGAGAGAGGTAGGTGTGGAACCTGGAAGATGAGACTCCCAACCATGCAGCTCTAGCATGTTGCAAAAAGTTGCAGCTTAGGATGCTGCCAGACAAATGTGAAGTAACCACCGATGGCCCTTCTCAATTGTTTGGTTAGCATCCTTCCTCTCGCCGGTCCCCCGCTTAAGAAAAATCTAGCTGCCCGCTAACCTCTCTGGGGTGTTCCATGTGTGCTTCAAAGAAGTTGGATTGGACCTTAGTATTGTTTTACAGGAGACGGCGAAGAAGAACACGGAGGAGATGGTCAAGCACCACAAGGAAAAGGGACGAATACACCAACACACAGGGGGTGGGGAAAGCTTGCAAGATCTTGCAAGGGACTCACTCTTTCCAGTCAGCAGTCGGCAAGTTGGGCAAGCAGCGGGTGGTCGAAGTTTGGGGAAAATAAGAGATTCCGCATCAGTTGCAGGGTGCATAGCCCCGTTCAAAGGGCATTCTCCAGTGTAGCTGCGCACAACCAGGGTTTCTATGGTCGCCCAAGGGTCATGAAAAAATCGATCGCTTCTCCGCTGTCTCTCCACGTCAATGACTCCACTGAGGAGTTGCTGGATTTGGAGCGAGCTTTGCACGCCAGGCCGGCGTGTCAAACCGTATCACAGGCAACGTAACAATGTCGGCTCTATGCAGCCGCTCCTAGGTTTTTTGGGGGGCAGACTGGCGCTTGGCAGGCATGTACACGTGAAGTGCTGGTGGTCCGAAGTTTTTCAATGCTTCTTCTCCAATGCTAGTAGAAACAAGTGCCTCGCTGGTAGTAACAAGAAGCTATTAGTAACAGGTGCATCGCAAGTAGTA